GGGCTGCTTCTAGTCCGGGCCTCATATCTGATTAAGCAGAGGGCATCAGTTGCTGTGTAAGTCAGACGGAAAGATCCTCTCCAACCCAACGGGCACCTAAACCAAGACAGGTTTAGGGTCCGACCAGGCAACCAGAGCAGCGATGGGGCGGACAAGGGTGAGTGGGCAGAAATGGGCACCGCGGACGGGCTCCCCACCACCTCATCGCCTGCCCCCACCTCCCCGCGCCACAGGTTTACCACGAACGCGTCAATACGCACGTGGCGGAGGCCGAGTTCGACTACGCGCGCTGCGGCGTCCGCGACGTGTCCAAGACGCTAGTGGGGCTGGAGGGCGCGCCGGCCACGCGGCTGCGCTTCACCAAGTGCTTCAGTTTCGCCAGCGTGGAGGCGGAGAACGCGTACCTGTGCCAGCGCGCGCGCTTCTTCGCCGAGAACGAGGGCCTGGACGACTACATGGAGGCACGCGAGGGCATGCACCTCAAGAACGTGGACTTCCGTGAGTTCATGGTGGCCTTCCCGGACCCGGCCCGGCCTCCCTGGTACGCCTGCTCATCGGCTTTCTGGGCTGCGGCGCTGCTCACGCTGTCGTGGCCGCTGCGCGTGCTGTCCGAATACCGCACGGCCTACGCGCACTACCACGTGGAGAAGCTCTTCGGCCTGGAGGGCCCGGGCTCGGCCAGCAGCGCGGGCGGTGGCCTCAGCCCCAGCGACGAGCTGCTGCCCCCGCTCACCCACCGCCTGCCGCGTGTCAACACGGTGGACAGCACGGAGCTCGAGTGGCACATCCGCTCCAACCAGCAGCTGGTGCCCAGCTACTCCGAGGCGGTGCTCATGGACCTGGCGGGGCTGGGGGCGCGCTGTGGCGGGGCGGGAGGCGGCTACGCGCCCTCTTGCCGCTACGGCGGGGTGGGCGGCCCGGGCGCAGCGGGCGTGGCTCCCTACCGGCGCAGCTGCGAGCACTGCCAGCGCGCCGTCAGCAGCTCGTCCATCTTCTCGCGCAGCGCCCTGAGCATCTGCGCCAGCCCGCGGGCCGGCCCGGGGCCTGGAGGGGGCGCGGGCTGCGGGGGCAGCCGCTTCTCGCTCGGCCGCCTCTACGGCTCCCGGCGCAGCTGCCTGTGGCGCAGCCGCAGCGGGAGCGTCAACGAGGCCAGCTGCCCCACGGAGCAGACGCGGCTGTCCAGCCAGGCCAGCATGGGGGACGACGAGGACGATGACGAGGAGGAGGCCGGGCCGCCGCCGCCCTACCACGACGCCCTCTACTTCCCGGTCCTCATCGTCCACCGGCAGGAGGGGTGTCTGGGCCACAGCCACCGGCCGCTGCACCGCCACGGCTCCTGCGTAGAGACCTCACTGTGACCTCTGGCCACGGAGCGGCCGGCGCCATCCTCCCGCCTGCCCCTCGCCGGACTGTGCTCCCTGAGCGGCGCAGGGCGAGTTCACCACGGCGATTGAGGCCGCGCGGCGATTGAGGCCGCGCGGCGGAGAGGGAAGGGGAGATGAGGGCCGCAAGACAGACCCGGTTGGGGCCGAGACCCCCTGCCTCCCTGTACATAAAGAGATCGATTGTCGGGAGCGGGTCGGCTGCTCCCCGAGATCCCCCCTGGCAGAGTCTCTCTTCCAGCCCCATCCCTGAGTTCCTAAGGGGACACCTCCCTCCGGTCCAGCCCTTCAGCAGATCTTCTGTTAGCTGGCAGCCGTGCTGTGGGCCCCTCGTTGGGCCTCGTCTGAAGGGAGAGGCCCTGGCATGCCGCTGGGAGATTTAGAGGCTGTGGAGAAGGAAACTTGGGGGTTTCCTTCCTCCGAGGCCTCACTCCCCTGAGGCCTCTCTCTATGGAGTGGGCGGTGGTTTGGTGTCCAGCAGGCTGGATTCCAGCTAGCTAATGCATTCAGTGGGTCTGAGGCTGGAGCCAGGTGTCAGCCCCAAACCTCCATCCAACACCGTGGAAATGTTTCTGCCCTCTTCTTGGCGCTGACCCCAAACATTGGGGTTTCCTTTCTCTTGCTTCCTCCTCTGCTGTTTGTCTAACTGGGCCCCCACTCCGGGTGCAGAGAGACTGTGCTCACCGCACAGACGTCACTCACCTCCAGCCTCCTGGCCCTGCAGTGCTTTTGCCAGGGTGCAGCCGGGCTGGGAGTGAAAAGTGGAGGGCTGTGTACCTCAGTCCTTTCTGGAAACTCCGCAGCCTCCCGCGGCAGCCTCCTCACCTGGGTTCTGGGTGTGTGCTCCCTTTAGAGAGTGTGAGACGCCACCTGGGCAGCACTGTTTAAAGCTGGCCAGGGTGCGTGACTAAGGGAAGAGAGCATGACACAGACCCGGGTGACAAAGGGGACCTCTGGAAGCAGGTGGGAGTGAGAGAGGAGAGGGAAGTGGAGGGTAGAGGAAAAGGACCTCCGAAGGTGGGGGGTTGTCTTTGGAGGCGGCCCTCGCCTCCCTAAACCTGTGGGGAGGAGCGGAGTGTGCTTGTTCCTCAAACATCTGGAGGGGGCGGGGGTTGAGGACATTGTCACAAGCTCCAGCTGGAGAAATAACTCAATTCCAGTGGCAGGGTCAGAGGCAAGAATTCTCTACATCTTGTCCGACCCTTCCATCCTCCCCTATCCTATGAGCTGAAGCCCTGCTGTGTGTCCCAGGGTCTTCAAAGGGCCATCCTGCAACCACCCCAGGGCGCTGGCCCCACATCCTGTTCCCACAAAGCTCTGACACCGCCTTCTCTCCCTGTGCCCCCCCTGCCACCTCCACCCTGATGTGCTTCAGTGTGCATGTCTGTGAACAGCCCTCCTGTCCTCCCGACTCCCTTGGCTAAAGTTTCCCCAGCAGATTTAGTGCCCAGGGATTGAGCTCACGTTTCAGGGTAGAGAGGATAACCCTTGGGCCACCCGCATCTCTCACCCCTGATGCTTCTTTCTTCACCTGAGCCATCAGAACTCCTCCTTCCCTCCTTCAGCCCATCTCATCTTCCTCCAGCCCAGCCAGGCCTGCACAACCAACCGTGTGGCCTCCACCTATGCAACATCGCCTCTGTCTCCCCTTCCCTTCTTCCTAGGGGAGAATGCAAGGGGCTCAAATTGTGGGGATACCATGGCCCGTGGCTTCTAAAGGGTTTAGCTTTACTTTCAGGTAGAGATGGCTGAGTGAAGAGGGAGAAGAGAGGCTAGACAGAGGGAGGCTTGGGTGGGGCAAACAGCTGCCCACCAGATTTTCCTGGACAGCACTGCCCACCTGCCTACCAGCACAGAACCTGCCTGGACCCCGAGTCTGTGCTCCTTGGGGTTCTGGTGTTTGGAGCATCCCTCTTTCCTGTGAATGGACATCTGTGAGGTACAGGTGGTGAGCTGCAGCCTCAGGCTCCACTTCTTAAGCCAGCTGGCACCTGGATGTCATGCTCTGTGTGGGGACAGCCTGGCCACCTCAGGGCTCCAAGGAGGGAGGAACTTGGCTCCTCCTCCCTCAGGCCTGTTCATGAGATGGAGCCAGGTCTCAGAAGAGGGGAAGGGGGACCTCTATTATTATTTTTGCCTGTATTGACCATTTCTGCCTAGGTCGTCTCACACAGACAACCTCACCTCCCACACACACACAGACTTAGAGAGAAACCAATTCTTTGGTCTATTTTCTTGGTGGCTTTATTGATTGCCAGGGAAATTGAAAACCAGAAAATTAATTAATCTCTAAAATTAAACTTTACACTGAATGTTCTTGTTTCTCTAATTAGAACCTCTGCTAGCAGCTGTGGCTACACACACACACACACACACACACCCTCACACCTACATGTTTGCACTCCAGAACTGTCAGAGGGTGTCAGGCACAGACAGACTCTAGGTTGCCCGGACAGGCACACACATGCAGTCACTTCCAAGCCCCATTTGGTGCTCTGCTCAGCGCCTGCTTAGGAGTCCCTGGAGAGCAGGCACTCCTGTACTGGGGTTGTAGCCCGTGACCTGCCCTTTAGGGACATGGGTCTGGAGGCTCTGGGCCAATCAGTCAGCCCAAGGAGGATGGAGAATGGCGCTCAGCCTGAATCAGTTAGTCAGCTAGGTGTCTTGTGGCCCTGGGGGCTGATGTGATTCCTGTAGGTGTGGCCCCAGGGTGGGCAGCTACAGAGTGATGGGGACTCATGGAGGGCACCTGGAAGGCTCCATGTGTCCTGGGGACAAGGGCTTGTGGGGTGGGCTGGGCCTGGCTGGGGGGAAGACAGGTCTCTGTCAATTGGGTGCATCACACTGTGGCCTTTTTGTCGTGGATTTAAGCGCAAAGATTGTACAAATCAAACTGGTGGATAATAAAGTTGTGGATGACTCACTGACTTCCTGTCCCAGTGTGGCACTTCTTTTGCTACCTCCTCCCTCCTGGGGAAGCACTCTGGGGTAGATGGCAGGGATCGTGTCATCCTTCCCTAGCAGTCGTCATCTACAGCTGCCTCCCCAGAAGAGGCCACTGGATCTCAGCCCCTGGGGTCAGCTTGTTGTCCCCTTCCCAGGTTGGGGGTTGAGGAACTAGGGAATGGCATGGCCTGTAGAACTGGATCACTTAAAGCAGAGTCAAGCAACAGGGATATGCATCTGCAGGGGTAAGGGTGGCAGAGAGAGCCAGGCATAGCTTTGCTGTAGCCAGAGTGTGTGTGTGTGTGTGTGTGTTTGAAGACTATGGATCTGTTTGGTAGAGAAGAAAATGGTGAAGAGGGGAGTCAGGGAGGCAGGCAGCCCCCGTGGGAGAATCTGGCAGGCATAGTCCCTCAAACACCTCTCTGACTTCCCTATACTGGAAGAAGATCATGTGTGGGGGTCCAGTAATATCCTCTCCCGGACACAGGGGCTGGGTCCCTACTGCATACCCTTTTGACTCCCATCCCAGACTCCCTTCCCTGCCTCATGTCTGCATACAACCATCGATCACTACAAGGATATTCAGGTCCCCCTCTCCACTCCCTCTGAAGGAGTGCCTCTCTAGCAGGCACGGTAGGGGTATGAAATGAGGGATGGGGCTGGGGCCATGACCCAAGTCAGGTCATTTTATCCCAGAGTTCTCAGGGCCACTGGCAGTGATGGTTGACATGAAGTGGCTGGGATTCAAGGCCCGCTGGCGGGCTGCTTCTCGATTGGCATAGAGGGCCTGGCCAATGAGGTACTCGCTCTCCTGGGCCACATCTGACAGGCGCAAGTCAAACTCCAGAAGGGTCTTGTTGTCTGACATGCCTTCCAGGAGCTGCTTCCCACCGTCCTGGGAAAAGAGTGCCAAAGAAGGGGCGTTTAAGTCACTACCCAGGATCTCACGCTACGCATTCTCATGTAGATGTGACTAAAACAAAGTTTTCACAAAACAATACTCAACCTATTCGTGACACATGTTGACATATTCTATTCTTTTTCATTTGACAAATGGTAGCCAAGACCCACTAAATTGATTTCTCAACCCTACTAGTTTGAAAAACATGAATCTTCAGCAATGATGATAATTCCATTCCTTTGGTTCAGCCATGGGCATGTGGGGCAAATCTAATGAGATGTGAGGGGGAAACTGAAAGGGGGTGGCTTCCGTGAAGGTTCTCCTCACTCCAGAAAGAGAACAAAAGAGAGCAGGTATTCACCCTTTTTCTGCCTCTGGGCATGTTTCCTATGTGATATGTCAGAGGCAGCCATCTTGAGAATGAGAGAAGCACTAGAGAAGGCCTTGGGCACAAGGCTGGGGTGGGCAGAGCAGAGGATGACACTGAACCCAGGGGTTTACCAACCCTAGAACCCCTTAATTCTGATTGTGGGAGACACTGAATGTTCCTCTTGTCTAATCCATTTCTAGTTAAGCTTTTTATTACTTGTAGTCAACAGCACCCCCTCTAGAAACTGTGTGTGTGCGCGCGCGTGTGCGCGTGTGTGTGGATGTATGTGCCTCTGTAGGTGAGCAAGGCTGTCCTCATGGGGAGGTTTAGTAGAGCATTCGGTGACCTAATGGAGGGGCCCCACTCAATGGTCATCACAGCTCCAGCCCCTGCTGGGTTGGGTGGGCCAGCCCCATTGTGAAAGAATTTCATGTTGGAAGGCAGAGTGCTACCTTTCCAAGATTGTGACTCAGCAGTGTGTTGCAAAGTCAATTCAATGGGTCATAGAAGCATTTTAAAAAATAAAATAGAGTAGAATGTAAAGGAAAATATTAGTATATATCACAACGAGTAAATTTCAATATTTATGTCTGTGTCCCTGTAAATTGCATTTCTTTCTTTCTTTCTTTTTTCTTTTCTTTTGAGACAGTCTTGCACTGTCGCCCAGGCTGGAGTGCAGTGGTGTGATCTTGGCTCACTGCAACCTCCGCCTCCTGGGTTCAAGTGATTCTCTTGCCTCAGCCTCTTGAATAGCTGGGGTTACAGGCTCATGCCACCACACCCAGCTGATTTTTGTATTTTTAATAGAGAAGGGGATTCGCCATGTTGGCCAGGCTGGTCTCAAACTCCTGGCCTCAGGTGATCTACCCACCTTGGCCTCCCAAAGGGCTGGGATTACAGGCATGAGCCACTGCGCCCAGATCAATTGCATTTCTTACTTTCAGACTTGGTTAAGAAAATTTGAGAGACATAGTCTATTAGGAAGGACTCAGGCTATCAATCAATCTTGGGTTTGAATCACAGCCTTGCCACTTTCTACTGACTTGATGCCCTTGGGCAATTCACTATCCTCTCTGAGGCTCAATTTTCCATCTAGAAAGTAGGGTTAAATGTACTTAGTTGTATACTTAAACTTAATTAGGGTTAAATATGCTTCGGGTTATATACAGTTACTTAGGTAACCATAAAGATTAAGGGGGAAAATAATAAACATTGAGATACATGGTATGTGTGCATACTTGATGCAGTCTGTAGTATGTAAAGTCTGTGATCTTCACAATTATCCCACACATACCCCTGGCAGCTGGATTCCACACCTACCCTCACAGGCCCAGAATAGGTGACTCACCAGCCCGATGTGGTTGCAGGACAGGTTGATGCTGGTGAGTGTGGTGTTGATGGCGAGCACCTGGGACAGGAGGGTGGCAGTGGGCTCAGACAGCTCATTGCCACCGAGGTGCAGCGTGGTGAGGCACTTGTTGGTCTGCAAGGCATGGGCAAGAGCCTGGCCACCCTCATCCTTGATGCAGTTGAGGCGTAGGTTGAGGGAAACGAGGTTGGTGTTGTGTGCCAGAGCATGAGCCAGGGACTGGGCACCTGGCCCATGCACCTGGTTGTTGGCCAGGTTGAGCACACGCAGGCGGCTGTGGTTCAGCAGCTTGGCAGCACCTCGTGCACCACGGTCCCCGATGAGGTTGTGTGACAGGTCCAGCTCCTCGAGGACTGGGTGGTCCAGAAGGCTTCGAATTATGATGCGTGCCTTCTCATCGTTCACTTTGCTTTGGGTCAGCTTGAAGATCTGTGGGCAGGCAGAGGGTCTACAGCACCTGCCAGTCAAGGGTAATCAGCCCTCCCACCCAGATCTTTGGCAAGCTCTGCTCACCTAGTGTTAGTCACCTGGCTGAGTGTTGAAGGGGGCCAGCCCTATCTGCATGGCAGAGTAGTGTAGAATTGGTGGCAGGTCGCAGGGAGGAAAGATCACTGTTTATTGAGCAGCTACTACATGCTGGGTATACTGCTTGGAGCTTTCATAACCATTATCTCTAACCTTCAGCATCTCAATGAAGAGAAAATGCTCTCCATTTTACAGATAGAAAATTGAGGCTTACATTATTTCCCCAGATAATACAGTGATTGAAGCGGTGGAGATGGGTTTGGAATCCAGGTCTGCCTGAGGCCTCAGCCCCTCACTGCATCCTCCCTTGCCAGCCAAGACCCACCAGGGCAAGGAGAGGACCTCTTTGAAGGAGGTTGCCAAAGTAAGAACCAGGGAAAAAGTAGGGAGGGGGAAAAGCAGGGAAAGCGTGGGATAAAGGAATGCGGGAAAGGGGATGGGGCTGGTCATTTGAATATTGTCCATAGGAGTCTCTCTCCCTCACCTTCCCACTGACTTGAAACGGCTTCTCTCTCTCTCATGAGACCTCTGAGTCTGGCCCCTTCTCCCTACTCTTCAGTTCACTCCTTTTTTATACCCCTCTTAGTCAGCCCAGTCTTTTGTGTCTCTTCTCTTTTATGGCATCTATCTGGCAAAGCCCAAACCCTGGATCAGCCCCACTCTCTATTTTCTGCATGCCTGTGTGCAAGCAACTGGCAAAATAGAAAACATCAGCTGATGGGACTGGTGGCTATCACTGAAACCACTGATAGGCCTGTAATGCTGCACGCCAATATAACTATATTTCTCTGGCCGAAATACTCCCTTATAATCTACAACAACTATTTTAGCTTTTTGCAGCCTCTTCAGAATTCAGGCGCCTCCCTGCTGAGCCCCCTCTTTCAGCAGGTGAACTCTCCTCTTGCCTTCTCAGCCATTGAATGGGAACCTGTAATTTTCCTGATACCAAAGCACTGACCTACTGGTCTATGAACCTGTGCCTCTCTTCTGCATTCATCCCCTTTCTTGCAACTGGATGGAGCCTTACATTGGTTTTAAACATATGTGAGTTATTCTGAAGGAACCCAAAGTTCTCATCTGTTAATGGCTGTACCTTTCCCCCTTCACAGCCAAGTTCTTGAAAAAGCTGATCACAACCACCCATTCCTCACTTCCCACTCTCCCCAGAAACGACTGCTATCTGGCCTCTGCTCCCGCCATTCCACTAAAATAGCTCCTCCTCAGTGACCTCCATGTTCACCAAATCCAGTCCTCAGCGCCATTCCACCCCATTGCTCACTCCCTCTACTTGAAACGTACCCCTCCCTTGTTCTGTGACACAATGCCATGTCCCCCATTTCCTCCTCCCTCTGGCTTCCTGGCAAGCTCTTTTTTTCTCACTAAGACCACATGTCAGGCCTCTTCTTGTCTCACTCTTGGCTCTCCCCTATGAGACTCCATCCAAATTCAGGGCTGCAACTGCCACCTTCATGAAGCCAGCACACATTTCCACATTCAATTCAGACCTCTTGTCTGAGCTTCAGACCCTCTACCCAACTAATGAAGTGACCCGTTCTTTGAGATGACTCAAACTGAAACACACACTCTTCCCCCTCAAAACTGATCCTCTTCCCACATTCCCGGTTTCTGCAAATGGCCCCTCCAGTCAGCCAGTCTCATGAGCCAGATGTCTTGCACCTCACCTCCTTCTCCTTCCTTTTCCTTCAGATCCTGCCCATGCCAGCATGGTCAGGTGCATAGCAGACATATGTCTGCCTAAATATGTCTTGACTCTCTCCACTCCTCTGAGTCTCCACAGACACTGCCATCGCTGAAATGACCCTCACTCTCACCTGGATTTGGCAATCTGGCAATGATCTCCTAGGTGATCTGCATGTCCACTGATGCCCTGCCCAGGCTATTCTCCCTCATAGATGGAGTGACCTTTTCATATGTGAAATCCAGTAATGGTGCCTACTTTTTTTTGCCTAAAACCCTGGGGTGGTGTCCCAGAGCTGGTAAGGATAAAGACAGCCTCTTGAACAAGGCCTCCTTTGCCCAGCAAGGCTGATCACTGACTGCCTCTCTGTTTTCGTCCCACCCTCCTCACTCACACTCTGCTCCAGCCACACGTCTTCTCTTTCAGTCCCTAGAGCTGGCCATGTTCACTCTGCCCATAGAGCCTTAGGCACTGCTCCCTCTGCCTGGAGTGATCCTCCCTCTTAGACTATAACTCTTATTCCTCCTTCTAATCTCTATGTAAGACATTTGTTCAGGGACCTCTTCCCTTGCAAGGTCAAACGCTCCTTTATAGTCTCTCATAAGACTATCACTTCTGGCCAGGTGCGGTGGCTCACACCTGTAATCTCAGCACTTTTGGGAGGCTGAGGCAGGCGAATCACAAGGTCAGGAGTTTGAGACCAGCCTGGCCAACACAGTGTAACCCTGTCTCTACTAAAAATACAAAAGTTATCTGGGTGTGGTGGCGGGCGCCTGTAATCCTAGCAACTTGGGAGGCTGAGGCATGAGAATAGTTTGAATGAGGCGGAGCTTGCAGTAAGCTAAGATAGTGCCATTGCACTCCAGTCTGGGCAACAGTGCGAGACTATGTCTCAAAAGAAAAAAAACAAAAAAGTATCTCTTCTTTATAGCATTTATACCAATTCAGGGGTACCAGAAAAAAAATACATGATTCCCAGTTAAATATAAATTTTAGATAAATAACAATGCCCCATGGAATATTCAGGACATACTTATACTAAAAATTATTTTTTGTTTATCTGAAATTAAAAAACTTTTTGGAGACAGGGTCTCATTTTGTAACCCAGGCTTGAGTGCCATGGTGTGATTGAAGCTCACTGCAGGCTTGAACTCCTAGGCTCAAGGGGTTCTCCCACCTCAGCCTCCTCAGTTGCTGGGAGACTACAGAGTGAGCCACTATGCCTGGACCTGAAATTCACATTTAACTGGATGTCCTGTATTTCTCTTTGCTAAATATGGCAACCCTATTCTAGTTTCAATTTTATGTTTATATGACTGTTGATTAGTGCCTTTATCCCATCAGACTGTTAGCTACAGAGGGAACAAACGATCTTGCTCATCGTTTTATTTTCAGCACCTAGGACAGGGCCTGGAGAGCAGATGTTTGCTAAATGAAACAAACTGGTGAACTGGGAGGGCAGCGCCTTGTTCATTTTTGCACACCCAGAACCGTGTAGCTTGGCGCAGGGACCATTAAAAACCACTTGGCCAATGAAAGAGAAGGAAATGGGAAAATGGTAATAACGGAGGAGGAAGATGAGGGGAGAAGGAGTCTGAGAGATGGGGAGAGGAAATCTGAGAGATGCTGAAAGGGATGGGGTGAAGGCTGGGGGCAGACAGTACCTTGAGGGTGTGGCATGCCTTGATGGTGGCTGCTAAGGAGTGACAGTCGTGGTAGGTGAAGAGGAAGAGATTCCACTCGAAGTTCATGCCGCAGTCCTTGACACCGTACACCAGGTCCAGCTCCTCCAGGTGGCTCAGGCCAGCTACCAGATCGCCCAGTTGGTAGTGGTCCAGGGCGGGCTCTTCCATTTCTCCCTCGCTGCCGGAGTCCGACTGGTCCCCGGTCTGGGGCTGGGCCAGGAGCCGCACCGGCGGAAGGAACTGATCGACGTGGACCCTGCGCACATAATTCCTGCAGAGTGGCAGCAGGTCGAGGATCACTGCGGGGTCCGTGGTGCCTGGGATAAAGTGCTTTAGCAGGTTCTCCAGGTGCCGCTCAAAGAACATGCGTTTCCAGCTGCCGCCATGCTCGGCCACGTGGCACACGGGCCAGCGCTGCATGCAGCAGCGGAGCCAGTAGTTCTCATCGTCTATCAGGTTGGCGGTCACAGCTAGTGGTAGGTCAGGGGACAGGTGGTTCAGGACTTTCTGCTGGTGCTCCGGGAGCAGCTGCTTCAGGATAGGGTTTCCTATGGGAACAGAGGAAGGAAAGCAGGAGGTCACAGTGTTGGGGGACACCTCACCATGATGCTTCAGGCTAGGCCTGGCTCAGGGCACTGGGCAAAGGGAAGACCCTTTCCTCTGCTCTCAGGGAGGCTCTATTGGATGGGGAGACCTAGCCTTTAGCTTTGGGATGTTCCCTACATGAAGGTGGACATCTCATCATCTGTTCTCAGGTAGCTCCGGGACTGAGGCAGACTCTCAGGTTCAACTCTCAATTATCACCTGGTCTGATGGGGGATACAATCTCTGAGGTCAGAGGCTTCCAATCTGATTTGATTCATCGATTTCAAAACAAGAAATTTTTTGAGCACCTACTATGTGCTAGACACTGAAGGTACCACTATGAGAGACTACTATGTCCCACATGCTGGAGATATAAAAGCAAGCAAAGGCCGGGTGCGGTGGCTCAAGCCTGTAATCCCAGCACTTTGGGAGGCCGAGGCGGGTGGATCACGAGGTCAAGAGATCAAGACCATCCTGGTCAACATGGTGAAACCCCATCTCTACTGAAAATGCAAAAAATTAGCTGGGCACGGTGGCGCGTGCCTGTAATCCCAGCTACTCAGGAGGCTGAGGCAGGAGAATTGCCTGAACCCAGGAGGCAGAGGTTGCGGTGAGCCAAGATCGCCCCATTGCACTCCAGCCTGGGTAACAAGAGCGAAACTCCGTATCAAAAAAAAAAAAAAAAAAGCAAGCAAAACAGAGCTCATCCCTTTTGGAGTTTAAATTCTAGTGAGGGGAGGCTGACAACAAACAAGTAAAATGAATGAGACTGGGTGACAATAGTTACTGTAGATGAAATGATCGTCCTGTCCTCAGAGAGCTCCTCATCTGGTAGGAGAGGCTGGCAACCCATCTTTGGAAAGGATCTATATTACAGAGCACAAAATATAGAACAAACCAAGAGCCTTTACATGGCATGGAAGACTCCATCAGAGTGGGGGGCGGTTCACTTGGGAGGGCTTTCTGGAGAAGGAAGTAGATGTGGCTCAGACTGGGTTTTGCTGGAGAGAGTGGAAAAGGCAAGGAGAGAACAGAGGCATGGCGGGTCCAGTGTGGGTGGGAGGCTGGTGGGACCTGCCAGTGGGAACAGCAGGAGAAGCTGTCTTGGCCCTGGGGTGGAAGGGAAGTGTTGAGGGGGTATGAGGATGTCATGTGGGAGAGCAGGGGCTGCCCTGGGACCCAGCTTCTGCAGTCTTGGCTCCAGACAGTCCCTACCCACCTTGCCCCACTCCTGGCCTTCTTCTTCCCACCCAAAACAGGGACAGACTCACTCTGGAAGTTCTTGATGATGTGCTGAATGCAGAGCTCTGTGAGGAGGGGCACGATGGTCAGAGACCACTCAGGATCCTCAGCAATGATCCGGCGCATCCGATGGAAATTGGCCCCAGAATTTGGGTTCCTGGACTTTGCAGGCACTGGTGTGATTGAAGAAAGCTTTGAGGGCTGTGGGCCTGTGCTTGAAGTGTGGCCTCCAGTGGAGGACTTGTCCTGGGTGGAGACTGAGGAGTGGCTGGGGTCCAACAATGCTGATGTTACATTATCCTGCATGCTGGGGGCTGGCAACGTAGGGGCAGGTGGCCCCTGGATGCCCTTATGACAAGAAGCTTCTCAGACTGGCAGACCCTTGATACAGGCAGGGATCTGGAGAAAAAGGAAGAGGGTGGAGGTGTTACTTTGGAGGGTCTTGGTGGGCATTTACTAAGAGAGGTGGTGTAGAATAGTGCTTAAGGATCAGTCCCTGGGGTGAAGCAGATCCAGGTACACATCCATTGGTTATCTGTGTGGCCTTGGGAAAGTTACTGAATCTCTCTGAATTTCAGATGCTGCCTCTGAGAAATGAAGGTCAGTTCCAGTAGGATTATTTGGAGGAGTGGATAACATAGTGCATCCAAAGGGCATAATATATTATCTGACACATGGAATTGTACCAAGGAGCAGCCCAAAATTTCAGATAATAGCTCTACAGCAATTACAGTAATTGCTCTATGCCAGACAATCTTTTTAGTTCTTTATGCCTATTAATTCCTGTGTCCTCACAAAAGCCTTTCTCAGATAGCTGCTTGTATTATTCCCATTTTTCTGCTGGGAAACTGAAGCACGGAGAGGTTAATTGACTTGCCCAATGTCACACAGCTTAGAATTATCAAAGGTGGGTTTAAATTCAGTCTATCAAATTCATGCTCTGAACCCTACATTGGACTACCCCTCTGAGGGTGAGGGGTGTATATTGCCAAAAGGCAGAGGTATAATAAAGAGCCATTCAGCTCAAAACAGGCCCCTGCACTAAGTATTTTCTAGAACAGCAACTGCCTGATCCATAGGATGGGGCTGAGAACAGCTCTGGCCAACAGAAATATAATGCAAGCCAAAATGCAGCCACATATGCTATTTTAATTTCTTTAGTGCTCACATTTTAAAAAGTAAAGAGAAACAACGGTGGGCATGGTGGCTCATGCCTGTAATCTCAGCACTTTGGGAGGCCAAGGTAGGTGGATCACTTGAGTTCAGGAGTTTGAGACCAGCCTGGTCAACATGATGAAATTCCATCTCCACTAAAAATGCACAAATTAGCAGGGCATGGTGGCAGGTGCCTATAGTCCCAGCTACTCTCTCTCTCTCTCACACACACACACACACACACAGAGAGAGAGAGAGAGAGAGAGAGAGAGAGAGAGAGAAACAGGTGAAATTAATTTTATATTTAGCCCAGTATGTACAAAGTGTTATCATTTAGACACATAATCTATATAAATTATTAATAAGACATTTTATATACTGTATGTTTTCATATGAGGTCTTCAAAATCTGATGGCTCAATAGGCAAATTGAGCCTATGGCTACCGTTTTGGAGAGTGCAGGTTGAGAGAGAAAGGAGAGGGGGACAAGACCCATGCCCTGCCCAGGATGCCAGCACCCTCCTTTCTTCCTTCCCACTGAGAGCTCAAGCTCCAGGTCCCCTCCCTTCCATCTCCCCATCCAGTCTTCCTCTAGTTCTTCCAGCCTCCCAGCATTCCAGACAGCAGCGGGCAGGCGTGGGAGGCAAGAAGGCAGCTAAATCTGGGGTTGAAGACAGAAAACGGAGGATGTGGCTTGGTCCAGGGACCTTCCCTGCATTTGCCCATTCCTGCACCCTTGCACTCCTGCCCTGAGATCTGCAGGAGGAAATGGGGCTGCTGGCTCTTGGCTCCTCCAGGCAGTTCCCCTCAGATGTGCACCCTGACTCAGTGCACTAGGTAGTGGCCGGTGAGAGGGAACGCTCTGAACCAGCAAAGGCGTCCTTGGCAGAGGAAGGGACCAGATGGTGCTCCCCAGCCTGCCAGGCATCTCAAGGAGGAAAAGCCTGGTTGAGAGGCGGGTGGCAGGGAGAGGGATAGTGCAGGAAAGATATCTAGGTATTGTGACATCCTTATGCAAATCAAATGCAAATTCACACACAGATTGTGTCCAGAATTGTGAAATAACCAGATCGTGCTTTTTGACTAATGGCTCTCAGAGAGTGGGGTTGGAGGGGGTTGCTGCTTAGTGGTGCTGGCTGACTTTGCATTTCTGGCTTAGCCGGTTATGTGCTTTGTGACCTTGGCCAAGTTACTTAACCTATCTGAGCTTCAGTTTCTTTATTTGTGAAACTGGATAATAATATCTTCCTACGTGGGCTATAGTGGAGATCCCCCTGAGATAATGGTCAATTAATATTGGTGATTATAAAGAATACAGGCGAGGAGGGTGTGTGGAGAGTGAAGGGCAGGGGTCTGAGGCTGGACAGGTCACATCCTGGAGACCTGCTTCTTGGGCACTGACCTGAAATGGTATCTTTGGATGAGTGCAAAGTGTCTGAGGCCCTTCCCTATTTCCAGGAGTGATGTGAGGGGCAAGGTGACAGTAGTGGAGGCTGCAAGGACATCAGGACAGAGGCAATGGAGGAAGGTCAGAGGCAACAGTCCAGCCCAACTCCTTCCTGGTTTTGCCCTAAAACATTTTATAATTTCCGTTGGTCCTAGATATATCCCTGGACACCCATGGGCCACACCCAGGACACAGACCAGGCTTGGCAGGAGGAGCCCCAGGTTGCTGGTGTGCATTGCCTGGAGTTGGCTTTTTAGTCATTCCTCATGGCACCTTCCAGCCTCACCATCCTGGCAGTCAGTCCCTTCTCCTTCTTCTCCTGGGGAGTCACATCTAGGAAACCCCACATAGGGCCAGGCGCGATGCCTATGCAATGAGGTGACTCTAGTCCCACTGCCTCGTGCCTCACTCTCAGGACCTGGCAGTTCTTTCTCAGGATCTGGTCCTAATTGCTCTTGCTGCTGTTTCGTGCCTGCAGTCCGCCTCTGGGCATGACACAGCAGGACCCATTGGGGCTTGCTCCAGGGCCCTGAAGCAACTCCTCAGAAGGAATGGGTAGGGCCTTGCTCCATATCACGTGGCTGCTGTGCGCATGGCTGGGATAAAAATGAGCCCCTATCACCTTCAGGGTTTGCAGGAACATCCATACCATGAGGCCTGATGTCATTTTAAGGCAAACGTTGAAAAAATTAACTGCATAAGATCAGAGTTGATAATTTTTAGTTAATTATCTCTTGATTTTTTAAAATGAATATTACAAAAATATTTTGGCAGGCAAATTATTATCAGACACAGAAGATTCTTCTAAGAATCCTAAGGAGGATTTTAGTTCTAAACGTTTTTAAAAATCTATTTTTAAAATGAACAAAATAGAAAACAAAGTATATTTAAAAGGATAACGAACAAAACTCACTCCTTGTTGCCCCGCTATAACTGTTCTGAGGAGGATACGGAGCGTGGCTCCTCCCTCGGCAGGCCATGTTCTGACCCCTGCCCTTGGGGGTCACCCTTTGGCATGCCACTCTCTTGGCTCTCCTCCTACTTTCTGACCATTCTTTTTCCAAGAGTCTTCACTACAGACTTCTCTCCCTTTGCCCACCCCTCACGTGCAGAGACCGCTCAGGATTCCGCCATTGTCACCCACTCGTTCCTGCTGATGTGGTCTAGCTTTCACCTCTTCCAGGTGGACTTTCCCAGCTGTGGCGTCCCAGGAGAAGCAGAGGGTACTGCCTACCAGGACGGTGAGGCTGGGTGGTGGTGTGAGTAATGCCAGACTCCCCTGCATCTGCATTCCAGACAAGTCCAGTGGGATCTGCCTCAGTCCCTCAAACAATCCATCCAGATGCCGGCACCAGTAGGCAGGGAGTCACCTCTCTCTCCTTCAGCCCTCCTGCCTCACCCTGCCATCTAGTTACTGATTTAGTTCTGCCTCCCACCCAGGCAGCCTCTCCTTTCCTGCTGCTGTCTTAGCTCAGGGTCTCAGTGTCTGTTCGGACCACAGCTTCAGCTGTGGAGCACATAGTTTCTGGGATCCAGTCTTGTCATCTCACATCTAGCCTTCACACAGATGCCGTGGGAGGCTCCATGTAAGCCCTCTAGTGGCTCACCACTGCTCAGCGGATAAAACCAGCTTCCTCAGCTTGACATGTAAATCTCCGTGGCTGGACACTTTGTTGAAAATAAGCTCCTCTTTGAATCTGGGACACTGCAGCCCAGCTCATGCTGCCCGGCCCTTGCTCAAGTTGTTCTCTCTGCCTGGAATGCCTTTCCCACTGTCTCAGCCAGGGAAAGAGACAATCACTGGTCTTCTGTGTCTGAGCTCAAGCACCACTTCCCCTCTGAAGGCCAGGTGCTTCTTTCTCCCTTATCCCCCAAAACAACCCCTCCCGTTGTCAGACCCCATCTCTCCAGTACCTGCATCACTCCAATGACCTGGCTGCCACCCTTTCACACACCCACACTAGACCATGAGCTGCTCGAGGGTAGGGGCTGTGTCCTCCTCATTATTGTCTCCAATTCCTAGCCCAGTGCCAGGTCTGCTTTAGGCGAGATAGCTGGTGTTTGGGGCTGCTCCACTGGCTTCTGATAATAGACTCTGACCAAAAGGAGATCCTATTGGTCAGGGCAACTGGTTTGGGGGTGGCTATCTGATAGAAGCCAATCAGAGTCCTTCTTGAGATTTGTCCAAGTGGAGGGAGACAGAAGGACACATGTCCTTGAAGGATCTGGATCTCCTGCTGCAAGTCATTTCTCTCCGCATGTCCAAGGTCTGCTTGCGGCAGGAGGGAATGAAGCCTGGGGGAGACCAGCAGAAACAAAAGATAGACAGAGACAGCATCCGGGTATCTTCGGTCCCCATACCTAGCTCTGAGAGCTGCCTGGCTCCTTGGCAGTGCCTTCAGCTCTGAGAGCTAAGTTCACAGTCCCTTTGCCAATGCTAAGAGTTGGGTTTCTACCCCTTTTGACCAAAAGGTCCTGCCCCATTTTGACCAAAAGGCTTACAGTTTGGTGAGTGGAATTATGGGGAAAATCCTAAACCAGTAGATGAAAGAGTTCAACGGGATAGCTGAGAACGGCCAAAGGCCCCCAGGTTATTATTCACAGGACCTGATATCACTCCTGTGGCCTCTTCCTTTCCTGGCCACGCTGAGCCTCTAGTCTCACATCCCATCTCTCCAGGGCTGGGACAGGATCAGCACGTTACAACTGTCCAGCATTTAGCAGTTACAAGGTCCTTTCATTGTCCTTTCAGAACTATCCTCTCAAAAAAAAGGGGGGGCTGGGTGTGGTGGCTCACACCTGTAATCCTAATACTTTGGGAGGCCAAGATGGGAAGCTTGAGGTCAAGAGTTCAAGACCAACCTGACCAACATAGTGAGATGCTGTCTCTAAAAGAAAAAGTCTTCTCATGTGACTCTTCAAGCACTGTATAAAGGAACTAGGATGGGTTTCCTTATCCCCATTTACAGTTGAAGAAACAAGGAAACAGGAAATGACTGGCCCTAAAAACCTGTGAGAGCTGGGGCCAGCATCTGAGGGCAGGTCTCCTACCTCTAGACACAATACACTACCTTTCCACAGTCACTCACTATGTCTCCCTCCTCTCGCTTTTCCTGCCCTCCATTAGGAAAGAAGAAAGCATATTCTTGCTCGTTAGGAAGTGGGGAGGGCCTCCCTGGGCTGAGAGAGCTCCCAGGCCTTTGGCACTCCACTGTGGGAATTTCAGGACCCTGTTGTACAGTTTTCATCCCTGTTATGTAAATGCATGTTCCCCCTAAATGAAACAAAATTTGACATCAATACTTGTGTGCCTATATCCACACTAACCTCGAACAGCTTTTTAAAAATACATCTCATCATTTTAGGTCAAACAAAAGCATAGTAAATTATAAAATGCATATTGACACTAATGTAGCAAACTTTTTTTTTATGACATGTCCTAGCATTGGCAAGTAGCACACAAGTGACCAAGATAGCCACAACCATGCCTAAGGATTCTTTTTCATCACGCTAAACTTTTTTTTTTTTTTTTTTTAAATACAGAGTTTCACTCCTGTTGCCCAGGCTGGAGTACAATGGTGCGATCTTGGCTCACCACAACCTCTGCCTCCCGGGTTCAAGCGATTCTTCTGCCTCAGTCTCCGGAGTAGCTGGGATTACAAGCATGTGCCACCACACCCGGCTAATTTTGTATTTTTAGTAGAGATGAGGTTTCTCCATGTTGGTCAGGCTGGTCTTGAACTCCTGACCTCAGGTGATCTGCCTGCCTCAGCCTTTCAAAGTGCTGGGATTATAGGCATGAGCCACTGTGCCTGGCCTAATGTAGCAAACTTTTTAAAAAGTCGAAGTTGTAGGCTGGGTGTAGTGGCTCATGCCTATAATCCCAGCATTTTGGGAGGCCGGGATGGGCGGATCACCTGAGGTCAGGAGTTTGAGACCAGCCTGACCAACATGGTGAAACCCTGTCTCTACTAAAAATGCAAAAATCAGCTGGGCATTGTGATGGACACCTATAATCCCAGCTACTTGGGAGGCTGAGGTAGGAGAATTACTTGAACCTTGAAGGTGGAGGTTACAGCGAGCTGAGATTGGGCCACCGCACTCCAGCCTGGGTGACAGAGTGAGACTCCACCTCAAAAAAAAAAGTATAAGTTGTAATATATTGTTTCTGACAGTTTAAGTGTGCATAAATTACATATATAATACACATGACTATATATTAGATATTAATATTAATTATATACTAATAAAATATATAATTCTCATATTATATCTAATATATAGTCATGTGTATTATATATGTAATTCACACTAAGGACTAGAATATATATCTATATTATTCTAGAAGAATATATTGTTCTATTAGAATATATATATCATTCTAAAATATAGATCGATATTCTACACTAAGGTGTAGAATTATTATTCTAGAATGATATATATATTCTAGAATAATATAGATATATATTCTACACCTTAGTGTGAATACGTTTCAGATACAAAAAGCAAAGTTAGAAAGGGCGCAAGGGAGGCCAGGCGTGGTGGCTCATGCCTGTAATTACAGCACTTTGGGAGGCTGAGGTGGGTAGATCATCTGAGGTCAGGAGTTCAAGACCAGCCTGACCAACATGGTAAAATGCTCATCTCTACTAAACATATGAAAATTAGCCAGGTGTGGTGGTGTGCCTGTAATCCCAGCTACTCGGGAGGCTGAGGCAGGAAAATTGCTTGAACCTGGGAGGCAGAGGTTGCAGTGAGCTGAGATTGTGCCACTGCACTCCAACCTGGGCAAGAAAAGCAAAACTCCATCTCGAAAGGAAATAAAGAAAAGAAAGGAAGGAAAGAAGGGAGGGAGGGAGGGGAAAGAAAGGAGGCAAGGGGAACAACCATGGAGAGGAGAGAAGGTGGGGAGTGGGCACAGTAGAAGATAGGAGGCTGAGAGAGTTCTGCCTGCTTCACAGGTTAGCCTTAGTCTGGTCTGGCAGTCACCAGCCTGCAGCTGAGGGTGATAGTAGGTGGCACTATTTTCCCTGGGAGCCTGGAGGGATGGGTGGATACGCAATAGCTGAGGGCTTGGGGCACATAGTCCCCAGGCACCCACAGAGGGCAGTCCTGGAGGTGGATGAAGAGTCACCTTCCTCTCTGGAGCTTTCTTTCCCTGGAAAGCCTGTTGGGTAAGTCAGAGAATCCCAGAGTTTTAAGACTAGGAGCATGTTCAAGACTCCAGTTCTTCTCCAGGGCAGGAATCCTGACAATCCAGAGAGGTCAGGGCTACCAGGAGTAGGTATATATTGTGCCACCATCTGGTGTCCCATCCAAGGGTGTGCTGTGCTCTCAGAGTGGGAAAGTGGGAGAGTGGGACACATGCAGTGGACTTTCACTTCTCTGGGGCCTGCCTCATGAGCCTGTTTGGCTTCACATGGCTGTATCTCTAACCCGGGACCACAGTCCCTAGGGAAAGGCCGGTCCTCATGCTCTGGGCCCCTACTCTGTATCCTCAGGACCAGGGTCCAGGGTCCTGAAATCACATACAGGGAACGACGTCCACATCAGGCCATAACTCAAAGGGTGTGAGGGACTGCTCTCTCCATGCCCAAGCACAGGTAATAGAAAGTGACAAGATGCTCCAGTTCGGCCAGGGTTGTCCTCATTTCTGATGGCTTGAATCTGGTGGACAGGTGTTCTGGGAACCATACCCTTGGCTATATATAGCTATGATTTATTGAGAGCTCTAGGACTTCAATAGCATGTGCATAGCAGGAGGCAGGACAGCAGCTGACTAAGTACTCAGGACTTGTGCTGTCTCAAATCAAATCTCTACTGTGCCCCCACACTATCTGCGCATCCTCAGGCAGGTCCCTGCTTGCCTCAGTTTCTTCATCTATAACATGGGGACAGTACTTAATAGTACCGACTTCATAGGCTTACATAGAGGATTAAGGAGCTAATGTGTGTGAGCCATTTCATATAGTGCTGGGCCCAGAGCCAGCAGTCAAGATGGGTGTTAGAAGTTATAATGAAGGTGCTACATGCCTAACATAATTTTATCAAATTCTTAAATGTATTATTCAGGATTATTATTTAACACTATTGTCCCCATTTCACAAATGAGGAAACTGAAACTTAGAAAGCTTAAGTAACTTACTAAATGTCACTAGCTAGTAAATGGAGAAGCTGAGGTTTTAGTTTGTGTCTGTCTAATGCTCTCTTACTTCCACTAGACAGATGCTGGGGTTGCTTATAAATTGCTCCCAACTCAGTCACTCACAGCACTTTCCAGTGGGTCTCTCATTTTCTCCAGCTCATGAGATCTCTTGTTCACCAGCATGGAGCCCAGGGTTACCCCCTTGGTGCTGACCTGAATAGTCCAGGCTCCCTCGCCCAGTTCACTGCTGGGCACAGGAGTCTTCCGCAAGGCTGGACCATTGCCTGCAAGCTTTGGAGGGCCCAAGGAGCCCAACAGAGTGCTGCAGAGTGGTGCTCTCCCACCCTGGCCCATTCCCTCCACAGGAAGTCTTGGGCCTTCTCCATCCTTCCCCCATCCCCAGATAAATCTAACCACTCTGGGCAGGAGTTCCTTATTCTGCCCTAATGGGAACACGAGGAAGATGCTGTAGGAGAGCGTTCTCACCTTCTTGTGCATCACAGTCCTGGTCCTCAACTGTCCCCTCCTCCCTTCCTCTTATCCAAAAAGTGGAGACACCCAGCCCTCTTTGCGATGACAGCGCCTCTGTGCCTGGGATACCTTCCCAGGAGCTGGCTCTGCACCCACTGCTCTGCCTGCCTTCTCTGCCTTCTCAGTTGCTCCCACCCCAGATCCCCGCAGGAGAGCCCCCTCTGTCCTCAGGGCTTTGGGCTTTTGTCTACACCCGCCTCCATCTCTTTCATGCCCACCATGTCTTACTTTGGGGCAAGTCACTCCCAAGTTGGGAATTCTATTTGTGGAAGGGCAAAAAAGTTTCTCCAACAGAGCTCGGCGAGTGATTGGACTTGGGCTGGGTGAAACCGCCAGCTCACTGGCCACGATCCCTGGGCTGGCCTCCTCCCGGCTGCTGTTCACTGAGGTCTGCTGTCTCAAAAGGGACTCCAGCCTCTCTGTTCCCCACTTCTCCTCCCTACCTTCAGCTCAGACACCCCAGCAGGGAAGCTCAGCTCCAAAGGCCACGGGGTCCCTCCCGCATCCTACCTGGGGTGTAGAGGTGCTGGCTTCTCCTTGGTAACCCAGGGAAACCGGCAGTGCCGTGGGAGGGAGGGAGATGCGGAAGCTTCTGGACCCGCGGGAGGGACTGCAGCCCTCGGGTGCTGGGGACAGGGACCGCCTTTCGGAGAAGTCTGGGGCCCCAGGGCTTAGGGCCGCTCTCCACCACGCCCTACCGATGCCCCACTTTCCACCCCCACTTCCTTCCCACGATCCTTCCCCTGCCTCACTCGGATCCCAAGCCCCGGCGCACACGGTTTGCAGTGACTGTGGTGAGGAGAGGCACGGGGCATCCTCGCGTGGAGAGCGTGGGGTCTCCCGTGGGTATGGACTGGCTGGCTCTTCCCCCAACGGGTAACGGAACCCAGGCAATGGCCGCCTGCAGGCTTCGGGCCGGTGTGACCGAGGACGCTGGAGGGGCTCCGAGGCCCTGCCGGACTGAGTGAACCCCGATAAGGGAGACCAGGGCTGGGTGTCCCCGCTCCCGGAGGTCGTCTCACCCGCTCCGGGAGCCCGGGCGCTGGCCTCACGCAAAGTCCCGCGAGCCAGTGCGGGTCACCGTCGTTGGGGACGCCCCGCGTCGCTAGGGGCTGGCCGGGCGGAGAGGGCGAATGCGCCGCGCCTCGGAGGAGGGGACGCTACTGCTTCCTCAGCTGTCGCTGCGCACCTGGCACGCGCCTCATTCGCGCTCACGGCGCCCAGGCCATGCCTCGGGAAGGTTCAGTGGAAGCGGCCGCTTTGGGGGTCGTGGGACTGTGGCCTTGCGCTATGCCCTGTGCTTCCGTGGGACGTGTCTAGGAACGGGTGGACTTTCTAGGGGGCTGGAGGTAGGAGACCCCGGGCAGGGCTGCTGGCCTGGAGTGCTTGTGCTCTCTTGGTAGCTTTTGTGTGGCAATGGATAGGGAGCTGGGGGTGGGGAGTTGGTCCAGGAAAAGCGTCTGTGGAAGATGAGGGTGGACGGACCTTCTCCCGGGCAACTGTGGAAGTCAATGGAACTCCCCTGAGGTCTCCTGGTGACCTTAGGCCCTGCGGGAGGGCACCTTCTACCTTTCTCTCAGCTGATGTCTGGCACTAGATGCAGGAAGGCCAACAGGGTGCTCCTTCACACAGCCCATGTCCTGTGCCAAACCCCCTTCCGGCCCTGGTGCGACAGGATGTGGTGGGAGCCCCTGATCTCTTGGAGGGCAAGAGGGACAGACTTCAGAGGGATGGTTAGTAAAAAAAAGAAACTGGCTTTCAGGAAGGGAGAGGCAGCCAAGGAGGTGGGGGTTTCAAAGGGTAGCTTTGATTTCAGTTCTGCTGAGGACTATTAGTTGGTTACCCTGGCCGAATACCTTGAAGCTCTGTTAACTCATCAATAAATCAGGGGTGCTACAACTCATCTTGGTGCCGGCAGAGCTTGGAGCTGGGCCTGTGGTGAACACTGCCGAACAGTGGCTACTACTCTAGTGGCCAGGATGCTTTAAAAGCAGTGAGGGGCCAGGCACTGGGATTGGGTCCCTTCAAGCCCTCACCGGTGCCTTACCAGCAAATCATTGGTGCCTTAATTAGAATGAGAAACTGTGCAGAAAATGATGCCAGGCGGGCCCACGCTGCTCAAATAATTTTTACTAGACAGAACTTGGTAGCCAGGGAGCCCTTGATTTGAAGATGGGTCCCCTGAGGCCTTTTCCTGCATCTAGCAACAGAGATCTAGGAACAGAGGCAGAGGTCCAACAGGCAGAGGTCTGGCTGTCTGAGGTGGACTCATTCTGATAGGGAAGGAGGGCTCCCCTCCACCTCTTGGCTTCCTCTTGCTTTGAGCTGCAAATTTTCAGCTTCAGCTCAGGCTTGAGGCAGGTGCTGTACAACTTGTTTTAATCAGCATATTGCTTGTCTGACCCCGATCTCCAACCTCATCACCGGCTCCTATCCCAGCTGACTGCTCAGTGGCACTGGCCACCTCACAGTCTCCAAATTGGCTGTTCCCTCAGCCTGGAATGCTTTTCCCTTAGATTTCCACATGGCGCACACTCTCACCTCCCAGTTCCCTGCTCACATGCTGCCTCTTGGTGAGGGAGGTACCACCATCCACACTCCTCATCTCCGATCTGTATTTTCCCCCCAGACCCGATCACCGTCTGACACAAGGTCTCATTCTGTTGCCCAGGCTGGAGTGCAGTGGTGCAATCATAGCTCAATGCGGCCTTGAACTCCTGGGCTAAAGTGATTTTCCCCCCTCAGCCTCCCCAGTAGCTAGGACTAAGGTGTGGGTAATCTCAGCTACTTGGGAGGCTGAGGCAGAAAGATCACAATTTTCTTTTTTTAGAGACAGGGTCTTGCTGTGTTTGTGCAGGCTGTTCTAGCTCTTCTGGCCTCAAGTGATCCTCCAACTTCAGCCTCACAAAATGCCAAGATTATAGTTGTGAGCCACAAAACCTGACCCTTATCTTTTGCTTTATTGCCTGTTTCCTCCATAAGAAGCAGACTCTATGAAGGAAGGAATCGTTAGTTTAGTGCTCGAAACATTCTCAGTTGCTCAGGTTATCAACAAATCAGCAGGGCCCAATTTAAATTAGAGGGTTTTTTTTTTTTTTTTTTTGAGACAGTCTTGCTCTGTCACCAGGCTGGAGTGCAGTGGCGTGATCTCAGCTCACTGCAACCTCTGCCTCCTGGGTTCAAGCAATTCTCCTGCCTCAGCCTCTTGAGTAGCTGGAACTATAGGCACATGGCCATAGTTCCATGCCTGGCTAATTTTTTGTATTTTAGTAGAGATGGGGTTTCACTGTGTTGCCCAGGCTGGTTTCAAACTCCTGAACTCAGGAAATCCACCTGCCCTGGCCTCCCAAAGTCCTGGGATTACAGGTGTGAGACACCGTGCCTGGCCGAGGTCACTGTTAATGAAAGAAGTGATAGTAAAGAGGGTCTGCACTGCTGAAATGATTTTCACAGGATGATTCTGTATCTTCCCAGTAGCCAGGGAGCCCTTTGTTGGTGCCCACCATTGCCAGGCATGCAGAGCCTGTCTGAGCACTCATGGCAATGAGGATGGCCCAATTTGGATCCCAGGTGGCCTTTCAGACAGTGTGAGCTCAGACTGGTGTTAGGGCACCTATACCATGTTGCTGGGAGGGGAAACACTGTTCTTTTTCAAAGTAATAGAACCTTCTGGAGCTTCCTATCCTCTGTGCAATAATTTCTAATGTGCAATCACAACCATATGTCTTCTCATTCACCAAGGGGTGTGTCTCTGGGCCCACTTCTGCCTTCCCTAGCCCGTATCTTCTTGTGTCATGCAGGGCCTGGTGCACGTGGTTCTCTTTGGCTCAGCTGCTGGCCTCCAGTCTCTAGTCCTTGTTTCAGCCTGTGGGGAGTTCTGCTGGCTCCTTCAGGGCTCCTGGCACTTGCCTTTAGTCCATGCGGGTCCCTGGGTGGGCCTGGGTCAGAGCTGGTTGAGGGCATAGGCTCGGGCTGTGCTGAGGGCAGCTTCCAGGTCAGCAGTGCTTCCGGTGCCTTGGGCCACCACTCTTGAGCCCCAGGCCTTGCCCCCCATGTGGCTGCACACTGCCAGTGCCCAGGCCTCGGCTGTGAAGGTGGGTGTGGCACCCTAGGAACAGAATCAGAAGGGGAAGTCATGCAGAGTGGCCCTCCCTGCCAGCATCCACTCAAGGTACCCTCAACAGCGGAGTTGAAGGTGATCAGCACCCCCTTCCCAGCTGAGAACATGGTGGGGGGGGGGGTTGGCTGACAAGCAGGAGAAGTGATGGGCTGGAAATGTGTGTGGGGAGGTTTAAGAGCATGAACATCTGCTACTTGTTTACAAGGGATGTGAGGCCTGGGAGGGGTTGGTAATTAAGGAATCTCTGGTGCTTTCTGGGGTGGGGAGGGCTGTTTTTAGGAACAAGGAGATTCCCCTATCCCTGTCCTCATACATACCTCCACCCAGCCTTGGCCCCTTTGTCTGGGAGAATTAAAGGTGTAAAATCAGAGAGCCAGAACAGGATGGGTATTAAGGGGGTGGTGGGCTGCTCTCCTACTTCCCTCACCTGGGCCACCCGACAGGCACACAACACCTTCCCCACAGGCTGGGGGCTGAGTAGGAGCACAGATGTATTGGGGGCCTGCTCACACAGCTGTCGTACGACCTTCACCAGCACCTGGGCCATGAAAGGCAGATGGTGAGCCCATAGCTTCCCAGACCCCAGCTACCCCCTGGTCAGGACTGTGCCCTCCCCAGACCCTGTGGCAGCCCCGCTTTGCCAGCACTCACCGAGAGGGACTCAGCCGAGACTGTGTCCACAATCAGAGGCCCCGTTGAGTGCCGCTCCAGCAGCTCCTGGGTTTTCTTTGCAGCCTAAGGGGCAGGAAGGACCAGCAGAGGGGTCAGGCTGAGAGGCAGGTTCCCAATTATTCCCCACTCCTGAACTGAGCCCCAGTTAAGCAATTCCCTGCTTCCTCCACCCACCCCAAAGGTCATCAGCTCTAAGCAGAGATGGCAGGGACTCTGCCTAGGGTGGCCTCCTTTTTGGGTCCCACATGTGTCCTTCCTCACCTCCCTTGCCACTTCCCTTTCATCATAGCTCCAGGCCCCTACAAATAGGTCGCTGAAGGTGAAAGGAGGAAGGTCAGAGTACAGATGGACCAGGAGTGGGCGGGAGGAAGGGGGATCCACAGTGAAGGTGCAATCAGGGCTGAATGGCACTAATCAAGTCAGCAGGCTTCCCGGGGTGGGGAGAGAGGTCTGAGCCAGACTTGGGAGTTGGGGGAGAAACACAGTTTGACAGAGAGAGAAGTAGGGGAATGGCCTGGGTGATGGTTCCCAGCTGGCAGGAGAAGGAAGAAGCTGCCACCACCCCGTCCCCATGTCCTTGCATAGCCTCTGACTCACCCCCATGCCCCAGCCCTTGAGACTTCTCAGTATATGTGCTGGAGCATCTCTGGGCACAAGGATACAGCGAAACCTCCTCTCACCTGCCCCATCTCCAGCTTACGGATGGCAGTGTTGGCACGCCGCTGCAGCATCTTCAGTGTGGCCAGCAGCTCCCGCCGCTGCCACTGGGGCATCACAGAAGTATCCACAGCCTATGGCCAGAAGTAGTGCATCACTCCTGCCCTTCCTGAGCCATAGTCTCTGAGGTAGGGACCCGCAGGGCCAGGGAAGCCACCCACCCTGCAGACAAACATCTGGGCCAGCTGGAGCCCAACCCGACTGGAGAGCTGGGGAGAGTCTGGAGGAGTCCAGGGAGGAATGGGGGCAGGGAGGAATAGGGCCAGGAGAGGTTGGGGAACAGCTCCACAGTAGGCGTGGCCCTCACTTCAATGAGTCGTCCTATGTCCTTGGATAGCCGATGTGCCTCCACCCCATCCCGGCTCCCTTGACTCAGCCGCTCAGTGGCTGCTTTCACTTCCTGGGCCAGGCTCTGGCCTAGCTCTCGGGCCTGCCGGGAGGGAACAGGAGGGTCAGGGCCGCCAGGCTGACATTCATCTCCCCAGGACAAGGCCTCTCAACTCATTAATGGTCAGGGACAAATAACAATCAGGACCAATCAAGGCACCAGCACCAAACAGTCAAAACAGATGCCAGCTGCCAACTGCTGGTATGGCCACATTGGTATGCACGTATGAACACTGGCTCTGCTGCTGGGTACCCCTGAGCCTGAGCATGTCACCTGCATGTGTCCCTTGCACCCACTCAACCCAGAAGTCCCAAGCCTACTGGCATGCTGACCTGCTGGGCCTGCTCCCCTGTGACAGCCAACAGGCGGGTGGTGCCTTTGGAAAGCTGGCGCTCCCCAATGATAACCAGGTCCCCTACAGCCCCTGTACGTAACAGGTGCCTATGGGAGGAAGGAGGGAGCAGAAAGTCAGGGGGGATGACAGGAGAGAAGGGAGAAGCCAGAAAGTATCGCCCATCAAGGGCTGATGGCTCCAAAGACCAAAGTAGGGCGAGGACCCAGGGCCCCTGGGCCAGGCAGCACAAAGCAGTGACTCACGTCCCACAGCATAGCTCCACAGAGGTCTGCAGTGCAGCTTGAGAGGCCGGGTCCAATGCATGGGCCACGGGCACCCCCACTGACACCACTCGCACAGGGTCTGGGTAAACCTGAGGTCAAGAGGGGATAGGCCCTTTAGCTGCCAAAGGAGAAGGATAAAGCCTCCTAGTGTGCCTGAAGGAGGCCCCTGATCTCCACCAAAAGGGCTTCCCCAACTCACCTCATCCAGAGAGCACAGGCCAGGGACCTGAGCAGTGAGCGCCAAGGCCACCTCCTCCATGTACACGGCCTTATCCTGCCCCACAGCCTCCTGCACGGTGTTCTCCACTGCCCGGAGCTGCTCTGGGGTCAGTGGGGTCTGGAGGGGTGGGGAGGAAATGGAAAGACCAACAGGCAGTCAGCCCCTTACCTGTAACTGATGCATTAAAACATGGTCAGGGTCCACTGAGCTATCCCCAGGTGCTAGAATAGCGGCTAGCACATAACAGGTTGAGCAGACAATTCTTTCCTTAGAAAGCTATCTGGGAGTTGGGCCTACTGGAAGCTCCAGGCATTTCACTAGGCACCAGAAGTTGATGAAGAAACAGAAAAAGGAGGCTGTATCCACAAGGAGCTTACAAGGGACAGCTCAGTGGAAGAGGGAACTGTAGGATTGGGGGATGCAGGGACAGGGAATAAGCAGGTGGGATGGGGATTAGCCAGCAAGTGCTCCCTGGAGAAAGGATTTGAGCCAGATGTGCAAGTTGGGCAGGGAGACAGGGTGGCAGCAGAGAGGGCAGCCCAGTTTGAGCAAGAATGGCTTGGGTGACAGCAGAAACAAGGAAGGGGCGTGGCTGGAGGTAAAGGGAGGGCCCCTGCTGGAGGCCCTTTAGAATCCCACATCAGGCCGGGTAAGGCCCCAGACACCCTGTAGTCTGACTCTTCACTGTTGCTTAAAGAGCCCACAGGGAAGGGACTTGCCCAGGGATCCATAGTGACAGGGTGGCCATGCTGGGTCTAGAGCCTAGGTCCTTAGATTGGTCAACCTGCTTACAGCAGGCTGGCTGACTTTAAGCCTGTCACTTCACCTCACGTGAAGCCTGTTTTTCTGTGCCAGGCTCACCTGGGTGGCCACATCGAAGCGCAGTCGCTCAGGATTGAGATGGGAGCCCTGCTGCTTTGTGCCAGGGCCCAGGGTCTGCCGCAGTGCCCAGTTCAGCAGGTGGGTGGCCGTGTGCTTCTCCATGCAGCCCAGACGCCAGGCCTGAAACACTTTTGTCACCCAGGGTCCTGGGTGAGGGCAGGGGGTGGGGAGAGTAAAGGGGCTGCAGGGTATTGGGAAGTCAGGGAGGATCCTTACCTTATCCACATGAAGCTGCACCTGGTCCCCTATCTGCAGGCACTCAGGGGCTACTGCCTCATGCAGAATGAAACCCCCACAGACCTGGGCCCGGGCTACTGGGAACAGCACATCCTGGGGGAGGGGAGGGGTCAAGGTGCCTGTAGCCTCTCCCTCCCCTCAGCTCCCACCCAGGCTTGGGTCTGCCTCCCACAGAAACTAGCCTGGGTTGTAGACGGGACTCACCTCTTGCCCTGCCCGCACCAGGTAGCCACGGTCTGAAGCCTGGCCCCCCTGTTCTGCGTAGAAGTTGGTCTTATCCAAGAGGAGGCCACAGCGCTGGCCTTTCCCCACGGAGGCCACTGCTGTCAGGTCCTCTGTATACAGCTGCAACACCTGGGCCTCACAGGTACCAAACTCTGCCAGGGCACCGAATGGTTATTAGTGCTGGACAGGGGCTGGGGACTTGGAGGTGGGTCTGTGTGTTGGGGACAACAGGCACCCCACTGGCAGGGGTGCTTCCAGCCGGGGGCCACAGAGACCCCTGGTGGTCATCCCGGGGAATGCATGGGGGCTAGCAGCAACCATCTTGGACATTCTTCCCAGTCATGGTCAGGCAAGCTTGTGGCCACACGCCTCAGTCCAGGCTCTCACCATAACCTCCGCTCGGTCGCAAGTAGTAGTCATATTTGGGGCTGTCGTCAGTTGGGGGCACTCCTCGGCGCTGCAGCTCCCCCAGCGCATGGACATCAAGCCACAATCCCTGCTTCTGAACTGGCTCAGCCTGCTGTGCCCGGTGCTGCAGGATGGACATGTCACGGAAGAGGTACATGGAGAATGCATGTTACAGGGCTGCATGGGACTTCAGCCTTACACAGCCCTGTCCCTGCCGCACAGCTGAGGATGCTGCAGCTCTTCTGGGATAAGTACTCAGGGCTTAGCTGGCTGGTCCAGCCCCTGGGCTGGTCGGTGAACCATCCATCATGTGGGCTCCTCAGATCAGGCCTCTCTGCTCACCGCTGCTCCTGGAGGGCCCCTCTCCAGGAAGCTGTGCTAGCTTTTGCTCCTGTGTTTAGCACATTGGCTAGTGTTGCTCTCTGCAGGTTGTGGCCTGAGGTTTTAGAAACCTCTGAGGTGAGAGGACAGGTCCTGTCTCAGCCTCTTGATTCCTCACAATAGCTGCAGCTCTTCCCCCAGGAGCTCAGGGCTGGGGAAGGGATGTCCCAACAGAACCCAGCATGGGGGTGGCATAGCTTGTACCTTAGCTTCCTCCTGGGCCAACCGTTCCAGCCCAGCAGAGTCCAGCTGTACCCCTTTCTCCTCCAGCATCAGCTCTACCAGGTCCAAGGGAAGCCCCAGGTCTCCAGCCAGTGACAAGGACCAGGCCACTTCAGCTTTGAGAAAGGAAGACAAAAAATGTTGAGGAGGGGAGGGATAAGACAAAGAAGGGGAGAAAAAAGGCCAGGGCCTTTCCGACCATGCAGAAGCCACCAGATGCCAAACACAAATAAATACCCCCTCCACACTGCATAGCCTCAGGAGAGGGGGCACATTCAGGCTTCATGCATCAAGGCCAGAGCTGGGGCTAGTCTAGGATACTCCCTAGGCACACATCATTTCAAAGGAGGAGGGAAGCTGTCTGTGCATGAAGCCAACCTAGGAAAGCAGGAGGCAGGGCTAGCGGGGCAGTGTGGACGGGGAGAGGCAGAGCGGCGTTCCTGCTGCAGGTCTGGGTATGGAATGAGAGTCCAGGAAGAGAGGAACACTGGGCTGAGATAGGGGGTGGACATGAGGCATGGGGCTGACCCAGAGCCCCCTCCTCTGCCCACCCTGGCGAGTCTCAGTGAGCCCCTTGGGCAGGGGCTAGGTACCCCACTCACCAGGGAACATATCTGAAGGCCCCAGGCTCCTCAGAGTCCGATCAATGATCCGCCGACCCCGCTGCAGGGAGGCCAGGAAGGCTGCCTCATCCTCTGACACCAGGTCGGCTATCTGAACCAGGCAGAGCAGAAGTGGAGCTGGGTCTCCTTGGAGGGAGGGTCTCTCTCCATATCTCTCCCATCGGCCCCTTGCCCTCCCATCCGAATCCAGTACCTGGGCTGAGCTCCTCTGTAGTTCCGGATAAGCATCTCCCTGGAGGAGGTGGAGAAGGTGTGAAAGGCAACCAACCCACCCCCACCTCTCCACCCTGGGCCTCCCTAAGGACACCTGCCCTGGCATCAGACACATTGAGGGCTGGGAGAGGGTCTCAGATGGGGAATGCTTTCCCTGTAGGGTGGCAGAAAGGGGTCCTAAGGTCAAAGGCTCAGCAGTTTGAGCAAGGAGCCTGCTCAAGTCTCCCGGCTTCTTGTAAGCAAGGACAGCTTTCTTAGCTTGCTGATAGGATGCTGGGCTAGGCATTTAGGGTGGGGACCCTGGGCATCCAGGCTAGGCTCAGTGATAGGCTCCCCAAGTGCCCAGGAAGGCCCAGAGTGAAGAAGCAGCTCTCCCCTTACCAATGTCTCCACCACTACAGGCACCAGGCTGCCTAGGAAGCCAGGTGGTGACTTTAAGATCTCTGTGGAGAAACGCACAGCTCGACGGAGGATCCGACGAAGAACCAACCTAAAGGGGTTCAGAGCCCAGACATGAACTCCCAGCAGCTCATGGTCAGCAATATGGGGAGTGGGAAGAATATGATCCACAATGTGTGTTCCCACCCCAAAGCTCTCCCTCTCCCCATTCCTCCTACTGGCCCAACCAGACCCACCTCTCCTCTTCCTTCCCTCCTCCTCCTGTGACCCCCAGCAGCCCCTGTCCTCTCTGTAGCCCTTCCAGACTCACGGGGCACCTGACATCCCAGGGAAGACGCCATCAGCGATGCAGATGCTGAGTGTGCGGATGTGGTCAGCTACCACGCGGTACGCTGTGTCTGTGCGCCCCTCATCTGCCACCCCTACCCGGCCCAAGTAAGGGGGTGCCCTGCAGCCCTGGGAAGCAGGAGAGAAAGAGTTGGCCAGTGGTCCTGCCTGACCTGGCCCAGGTGGGTGCTCTTTATCACCGCCAGAGCACCTGCCGTTAGCCCTAAAGCCAGCCACATCCAGAATGGCCTTGCCAGTCCAGTCATGGGCTCAGAAGCCTTATGGATGAACAGGAGCCAGGCCCTATCCCTGTGGAACTCATGTTTGGTGCTACAAGTGATCACATCTGTGATCACTTACTGAATTTCTACTATCAGAACTGGGTTAGTGCTTGAACAACATGACCTCTAATCCCCAAAACAGCCTGTTCCGGAAAGTATCAGTATCCTTGCTTTAAAGAAGAGGAAGCTGAGGCTCAGAGGAACTCGGTGATAGAGGCTACAACTCACAAGGAGCAGATCTGAGATCTCAGCCAGGCCTGTTGGACTCCAGGTGCCTTCCACTACCCGTTCTCGCCTCTCCCATCTTTTGTGGGGGTACGCAGAAAGGGAGGGCGTAAGCTACATACACATGGAAGTGATCCAAGGCAGGGAACTTGTTTACCTAGCTCCAAACCTCTCTCTTCCCCAGGCTTCATTTCAGGAAACAGTCATGCCAGTCACTATGTTGCTCAAGTCAATAGCCTGGGAGCCATCTTTGATTTCTCTTTCTCCTCCCCATCCAATCCATCAGTGGGTCCTTTTGCTTCTACCTCCATGAGATCTCTCAAATCAATCTATTTGTCTCTACTTCCACTGCTGTTAGCTGAAGCCATGCCCTGTGATCTTTGCCTGGACTGGTAATAGCCTCCCAACTGATTCCTCAGCTTCTGCTCTTGTCTCCCTCCAGCTCATCCTCCACACAGCAACAGGAGTCGCCTTTCAAAAGTGTACACCAGGCTGGACACAGTGGCTCATGCCTGTAATCCCAACACTCTGGGAGGCTGAAGTGGGTGGATCACCCGAGGTCAAGAGTTCAAGATTACTCTGGCCAACATGGTGAGAGTCCATCTCTACTAAAAATACAAAAATTAGCCAGGGATGGTGGTAGGTGCCTGTAATCCCAGCTACTCAGGAGGCTGAGGCAGGAGAATAGCTTGAGTCCAGGAGGCAGAAGTAGCAGTGAGCCGAGATCATGCCACTGCACTCCAGCCTGGGCAACAGAGCAAGACTCTGCCTCAAAAAAAAAAAGTTATCAGCTGGGAGTGGCATGATCTGATGCATACTTTTATTTATTTATTTAGAGACTAAGTCTCACTCTGTTGCCCAGGTTGGAGTACAGTGGCACAATCTCGGCTCACTGCAACCTCCACCTCCCAGGTTCAAGCAATTTCCTCCTGTCTCAGCCTCCCAAGTGGCTGGGACTACAGGTGTGTGCCATCATGCCTGGCTAATTTTTCTATTTTTTAGTAGTGACAGGGTTTTGTCATGTTGGCCAGGCTGGTCCTGACCTCAAGTGATCTGCCTCCCTCAGCCTCCCCAAGTGCTGGGATTATAGGCGTGAGCCACCGCGCCTGGCCCTGAGAACCCTTCTCGGCCACTCTGAGAATCAAAGCACCACTTTGGACTTTAAGGCCCACAAGACTGGACTCTGCCTTCTTCTCTGTAGTAGACTGTTCGCAAAAATGGCCCTTTCCTATGCATATGCCACTTTAAAATGGGACTTCGCAGCTGTTTCCCATCAAGAGACAGAATCCATTTTCCATCCCCTGAATCTTTGTGACTTGCTTTGGCCCATAGAATATGGTAGAAATAACATTGTCCTGAGCCTATGTGTCTGATCTCTGTCTTGGTATCTTGCTGAGCTGTGATGTGGACAAGCCCAGACTAACCAGCTAGGTGATGACAGACACATGGCCCAGTCACCCCAACTGCCCCCAAACTGACAGTCAGTCAAACCCCAGAAGAGGAGCTGCCTCTCAGCTGACCACAGATGGATGAGTGAGCTCACACAAGACCCAAAGAAAGCCCAGCCTGAACTGCTACCCTGCAGACTCAGGGGGCAAATAAATGGTTGTCGGTTAAGCCACAGAGCATTAGGATGGTTTGCTATGCCGCAAAAGCTAACTGACACATGTCCCAACTATATCCCATGGGATTCTCCTTTTTGTTCTTGGCACATGTCAAGCCCTTTCTTGCAGGGAAAGGAGGGAGGGTATAAGCTACACACACATGAAAATGCTTCAAAGCAGGGAGCTCGATGCACCTAGCTCCAAACCCCTCTCTTCCCCAAGCTTCATCTCAATAAACAGTCATGCCATTCACTTTGTTACTCAAGTCAATAGCCTGGGAGCCATCTTTGATTTCTCTTTCCCCTCCCTATCCAATCCATCAGTACTAAGGCCCTTGGTACCTGCTGTCCCCTCTGCCTGGAAAGAGCTTCCTGTGGCTGATTCCTCTTCCACTGGGGCTCAACTCAAAGGTCACCTTCTTGGTGAGCCTTCCCCAAACACCTTATCTAAGACTCCTCTGCACCCTCCTTCCTCCTAGTTACTCTCACCTATGGTTACTGCCTGTTCACAGTCTCCAAGCTATTACCTTGCTCTTTAACACACTTATTGTCTATCTCTCATGCTAGCATGTAATCTTCATGATCTCTTTTCTGTTTACTGATGTGTCTTCTGTAGCAAGCACAAAAGACTTAACACAAAGGAGCCACTCAACACGTATTTTCTGAATAAATGAAAGAAGGAGTCAGGAGCAACATCAGGTAATAAGTAATGAATCCTAGTGTGACATCTTGCGTGACATCTTGGAATTCTTGGTTGGTTACTGTCCTCATGCTGAGAACATTCTGAGTTCTCAACAAAGATGGAGAGCAATGGGGCTGAGTGCTGTGAAGAGCAGGTTGGAGGGCTTCTGGAAGGGAAGAGGCACTCACCTGGTGTATGGCGCTGAGCAGCGGGGAAAAGAGGTCAGTGTCGTAGGTGGAGTGTTTGCCTTGCAGCACAGCCACCAGCCTTTCCAGGCCCATTCCTGTGTCCACATGCCGCTGGGGCAGGGGCTGCAGGCTTCCATCTGCCTCTCTGGCCGGGGAAGGTGTGCAAGGTGAGGCCCCACCCAGGATTACAAGTGTGAGACAGATGCCCAAGTGGAGTAGAGAAGGAGGGGGCCCAAGAGGGCTGACAGTGGGAGGAACCAGACAAGCAGTATCTTCCCCTGCCACCCTGTAATAGCAGATGATATGGCCTTGGGTCCTGTCCTTTCTCATACAGGGCTATCTCCACTCTCACCCCTGCTTGAGCCCTTGTCTGGGCACCCGACATCCCATCTTAGGACAGAATTCTTTGCCCTTAGAAAGACATGTCAAGGCTAGAAGAAAATCTAAGATCATTAAGTTCAACTACATCATACAATAAGAGGCCAGACACTAGCAATGGCTTGTATAAACTGCCACAGGCAAGGACTAGGATTAAATCAGTTCTTATCTATAAAGTGTTGAGAATTGTGCCTGGCATATGGTAAGCACCATTTACGTGTTTGTTTTATATGAAACAGATTAAAGTCTCCTAATTGCCACCTTTTCCGCTTCTAGCCAGGGATTCTCGTCCTGCTTCAGCACCCCATTACCTGTTGTGTTGCATGAAGACCAGATTCCAAAGCTCTACCAGCTGGGGGGCTCCCACCCCATCAGCAAGGTCATAGTGGATCTCAGTACAGGGCCCACAAGGGCCAGTATCCCCCATCTCCCAGAAGTTCTCTTGGGGTCCAAAGGAAAGCACATGGCTAGCAGGCACCCTGGGGAGAAAGGCAGGTGAGTGGTAGGAGACAGACAGACCCAGAAGCTGGGACCCTCTCTGCCACAAGAGCCCCTCCCTCAAGTCGAAGCTCAGCAAGAGAAGGAACAGGGCTGACCCACAGTATCCTGGAATGATATGCTGAGACTCTGAGGATTGGTACCGGTAGTCTACATTTTCCAGTCCTCCTGCCCTCCAGGAATGAACATAAGGAGGGGGTTGACTTACCCTAAGCTCAGCCAGATGTCCCTGGTCTCCAGGTCTGGGTCCAGCCCTGCCTTGGGGTCACCATCAAAGTAGGAGACCCAGAGTCTTTCCTCAGGGATCCCATAGACCTGAGTCAGCAGTTCCCAGGCCATGCTACAAGCCTCCTCCTGCAGCAGAAACCAGCATGGGGTGGGGAAAGGAAGAAGGGTGAGAGGGAGACCACACTGAAGTCATCAAGCCACTTGAGTTTAGCCCTCGGCTTAAGACAAGAGCATTTCTGCTGCCATCTTGTTCCCAGAATAAGCCATGAACCATTACTGCCTGAGTGTTTTCCTGCTCAGAAAGCTTCCCCCTTCTTCTACATCCTATCTTCTTTCAAGTCCCATTTTCACATGAAATTCTCTGCCTACTGTAGTCTGGGGTGATCTCTAACTCCAGTAAACACCTTAGCATTGCTGTTTGATCATTTATTCAAACAACAATTTTTGAGTAGCCATTAGGCAGGAAGCACAGTCTTTGCCCTCCAGGGCTTACAATCCAATCAGGGAAGTGAGGTAATTCCTGTTACACCTGCTCAACTAGCACTTTGCCTCTAGATCTGGTATGAGGCCCTGCCTAAGCAGACCAATGGAAACAGGATGAACTTTGACTCCCTTCTTGGCTGACCACTGCTCCCCAGGCACTCACCTTAAAATATTCACCTCCAAAGGCCCAATTGCCAAGCATTTCAAAGAAGGTGTGATGGGAAAGGTCTCGTCCCACATCTTCCAGGTCGTTATGGTGTCCTCCAGCTCTCACACATTTCTGGCTGTTGGCCACACGTCGGAAGCCTGCCATTTTGCTTCGTGGATCCACGGTGCCCAGAAAAATGGGCTTGAACTGGAAGCACATGAAGTGGGGAGGGGGAGAGGGATTTCCCAATTTCTCAGTAGAAGAGAAAGGTGGGGAATGGGGATTGGGATGCCTGTTCAGACCGAAGGCTGACTGTGCCCCTGAAAGTGCAGTGTAATCCTGGTCTAGGAGGACAACCTGGGACCCTGCGGACAGCCATCTCTGGTGTGTGGGGAGCAGGGAAGAGGTAAATAAATCATGAACCAGAGACCCTCTGCTAGTAAAATAGGCAAGGTAAAAGAAGGAGGGATGTGTTGGGAGCTGGAAACAGGGCACTGAACGGTGGCATCCTCCATCCCAGCTTCTTCAACCACACCCAATAACTTCAGGGTACAAAACTGAGACTCATTTAGTAGGGATCCCAGACAGCCTCTAAGGTTGTCGCTCCTATTTTACAGATGAGGACAATGAAGTCTAGAAAGGGTGAGTGATTGATAAAAATCAAAAGTTTAGAGAATACTACTCAGCACACAATAGGTGCTCAATAAACATTTAATGAAAGCATTATCTTTATTTAACGAACGAATAAATAAAACCAGACTTCCCCCACCAATCTGCCCCAACGGGATTCCACACCAGCCATTTCTGGACCTAATACTCAATCCCAATCGATAAATTCTCCGCTCAATCCCTCCCCTAACCCTTCCTATACTCTGAGTGCCATCTCTTAACCACTTTACCCAACCAAGCACCGACCTCGTTCCCCGAAAAATATGAACTCCGCCTCTTGCTTCTTTTACCCAATCCTGCAGCGTCTTTCTAACTGGAAAACTCACAAACTCCGCCCCCTATCGGTATGGTTCGGCCCTCACCTGGTTCATGCCAGCATTGACGAAAAGCAAACTGGGGTCGCCGCGGGGCCGCACAGAAGCGGAGGGTACCAGTCGGTGGCCATGGCGGTCCCGAAAGAAGTTCAGAAAGGCAGCCCTCACCGCCGAGGCCTGGGCTGCAGCGGGCTCCGATGAGAGCGGCCGATGGCTGGGGCTCTGCCATGTGGGCGACCTTCGAATGGCCCGCCGCAGCCTCCGGGTTGCAGCTGCCACCGATGCCGCCATCTTAGCTCCGGGCAGTGACTTTACAGGGTCAAAGAGTGACAAGGGAAGGAAGCCAGGCGTTTCCTACAGCGGCCCCTGGCGGTAGGAGGACTCTGGGGGCAGCCTCTGCCGCCTGGGTGGAAGAGATTGGGTCGCTAGCAGAAGTCGGTCTAGCACAGCGCCTGGCACATAGTAGGCTCTTAATTCATTTGGCATTAAACAAATATTCATTGAGAGCTTCCTGTGTGCTAGACATTGTTTTGGGCGTTTAGGGTACAAAATTGACAAAATGCCCTGCCCACTGAAACATGTATTCTAGCAGGAATTGCCGTTGTGCTTATTAGTTTTGCAGAGTTATAAATGGGGTTGCAATTAAAAGGTGTGGATCCAACTTCGTGTGTGTGTGTGTGTGTGTGTGTGTGTGTGTGTGTGTGTGTTTTGTGTGTGTGTTTCCAGGCTGAGGGAAGAAAGCAAAGAGTGACGGGGATATCAGCATTCATTCAAGAAGTATTCAACAAATATTTATTGAAGACCTAGTATGCGCTAGGCACTGTTCTAGACATTTGCCAGTGCCCTTGGACCTTGGCATCACACAAAGCCATTTTGTCCTTGAAGCAGGACTCTATAGGAGAACAGAGAAGCCAGACAGCATTTGCTATATTATTAATTGCCTAACATTTGGTCTTCTCATTTGCCTGGGGATCAGAGAGAATCCAGGTTGTCAAGGCAGGAGGAAGCTGTTGGCTGATAGCTGCAGAGAGTTCACTCTCTAAGCCTTCCAGTGCCCTAAGGTTTTGTGTGTTTTGCTTTAGGGTAAGAGATACACCTGTCTTACCTCTCCCTTCTGTCTTTCCATAGTAACAGCTGTGACCCTGAAGCCAACAGGCCCTTGTGGGTGCCGTCAGGGTGCTCACAGGGCTTCTCTTGAAACTTGGGAAACTAAACACATTGGGAAGAGAGAAGAGAATTTGCCAAAGCTAAAACTCAATAGAGGTTCCAGAGCTGAGGTCAGTGTAATAACTGAGAAGATCTTAGCCATCCAGGTGGTCTCTTTTAGCCACCATTCTGTGTGCGTTAAGTTATTTGGGGTCTTTGGATACATGGTTTCTCTGGGGAATCTACACTGGGCTTGAATTTCTGTAGTAACAGGACATTCTCAATTATGTATTCTGACAGCACCTATTCCATGATCCCCTTTTTCTTCCCCTTCCCCACATAGATTAAAGGTGTTGTTTTGAAAGTGTGTTTGGCCTGTTTTGATTTTTCCAGTGTTTCTGGAACAGGAAGCTAAAGCCAGATGGGGATTTCTGTGAGATTGATGATATTTTTTTAATTTTATTTTTTGAGACGTCGATGACACAATCTCAGCTCACTGCAACCTCCACCTCCTGGGTTCAAATTATTCTCCTGCCTCAGCCTCCCAAGTAGCTGGGATTACAGGCATGCACCACCACGCCCGGCTAATTTTGTGTTTTTATTAGAGATGGGGTTTCTCCATGTCGGGTCAGGGTGGTCTCGAACTCCCAACCTCAGGTGATCTGCACGCCTCGATCTCCTCCAGTGCTGGCATTACAGGCGTGAGCCACTGCACTCGGCCAAGATTGATGATCTTCAGACAAGACTGTGAAATTATTTCCCAAGCTGAGATGGAAGTGTTTTGCCATACAAACCTAGCAGGGCCTCTACTCAGTACTGAACGTCAAACTTTTTTTCAGATTTTGCCCAGAAAGTCATTGTGTTATATTAGAAACTCCAAATGTGGATTTAGGATTGAGCCATATAACTTTTAAAAACAGCTTTATTGAAATATAATTTACATACTATACAATTCATCCGTTTAAATAAAGTATATAGTTCAATGGCTTTTAGTATATTTACATGGAGTTGCCCATCCATCACCACAATCCCTTTTAGAACATTTTCATTACTTCCAAATGAAATCCTGAATCCTTTAGCCATTAACCCCCAATCACCTCATCCATCGTAGCCCTTGGCAACCACTAATCTACCTTCCATCTCTACAGCCTTGCATATTCTGGACATGTCGCATAAATGGAATCATATGTGGTTCTTTGCAACTGGCTTCTTTCACCTAAAATAATGTTTTCAAGGTTCCTTCGTGTTGTAGCATGTACCATGGATTTTTAGAAAAATGTTTTTACTTGTTTTCTGTTTGAAGTAAGTTTTTCTCTCGTCTTATTTTGTCTTTGCCACTAAAAATGATAATTTTTTTTCTCCTTTCTTAGCCATGCATGAGCAAGATAATTTTCTTTTCTTCAAATGTGATGTTCTTTGGTGAATCATTAGGTTCTTTTTAGTGTTTCCCAGTGAAGCAAATGGTTCATCTAGGACTGGGATGTGTCTATTCTGGTTTGCAACTGTCATCTGATGAGGAAGTTAAATGTAAGGCCTGCAGCTTCCCAAGATAGATGGAGGTGGAGAAAACTCATCAGACAGGGAAGTTACCAACCCTGGGAACTTCTCTCAAGGGTACTGTACTGATCCACTGTCAGTATTTGTGGGAATTTCATTTTGAGGTTTAACATGCAAATAGAGTCTGTTTCTTGGGAGTTACTCAGCTGGGTTTTGTGAGCACCGTTTTGGGCGCTCCTTTCATTGTTTAAGACAGTGGTGCTTTATCTTCCCTGGAACTGGGCTTTTCCCTTATGTTGCCATTTGACCTACTTATCTTGGTAGATTCAAGACACCCAGCCATTCTTTGTGCTCTCCCTTTCACCTTGTTTAAAAGATGTAACACTGTTATTCTAGGAGTAGAAATTGTCCTTTCTGATTTCCCCTCTGGCTTTCAGAGCAGAACCCCAAGGTCAGTGGGACATTCTGTCCTGGATTGATGGTCAGAGAAGATAGGAGGGAATTTTCACTCTTACTGAGCATGGGGAACTCAGCTGTGGGAATTTCCCCTTAAAAATCATAAAAGTAGTCTTTTAGCGCCTAGGTTAAAAATTCAGCCTTCAAGAGGTGTTTCTGGTTTGATGTATGTATTTATGGCATTGCCTTATCTGGTTTGTGAAAGCAACCAACACTTGTCAAACATTAATATATGCATATGGATCTCCTGCAATCTTGTTAAAAATGCAGACAATGATCCGGTAGGTCTGATGTGGGCGAAATTCTGCATTTCTAACAGGCTCCCGGTGATGCTGCTGCTGCTGCTGCTAGTTTACTAGACCCTTCCTTGAGTGACAAGGTTGTAGTAAAGGACTGGTGAGAACAGTCTGGAAACAGGCTTTAGGAAATATTGTTTTGCCTGGTCCTGGGCCTAAGACTTAGGTGCCCTTAGGTTCTCCCTTTCTCCTAGGAGGAGCACTTGCCCAGAGCAGGTGGGTGTAACTGGGAGCTCATGTGCGCAAGAGTGCTCGCACCCTTCCCTCCACCAGCTTCTTAGGGAATTGAGGGTGGCGATTACATTTGCCTGTGGCTTAGAGATGTGGAGGTTAATGTGGACCAGGGTGGGAGGGGAACAGTGCTCTTGGGAATCTGGTGAAGTCATCAGGGCATGCTGATGGCTGGTGAAGCCCCTGGATGGGGAATTCAAGTATTAGTGGACCTTTGAGGGTCGCAATTCTAGAGGTTTATCTTTATGCATTTAAAAAATACTGTAGTTGCATTTATTTTTATTTTATTTTTGAAAGAGTTAGGGTTTCGCTATGTTGCCCAGGCTAGTTTTGAACTCCTGGTCTCAAGTGCTCTTCTCGCTTCGGTCTCCAAGGAGAACGTTTAAAATGGTTATAGAAATACCTACATAACAACATCAATTTTACCTCTTGGCCTGGAAAACCTAAAATATTTCGTATGTGGCCCTTTTTAAAAAAAGTTTGCCAAACATTGCAATAGAGATTTTTTTTAAAAATCACACCATAAAACATGGATGTAGAAAATCAACCAAAATAAATGTTGATTTGTTTCAATGCTGTTGATTCAAAAGGAGACATCTTTGTATCCACCACCCAGATCTTGAAGTAGAACTTTGCAGCCACCCCAGGGCCTCTCCATGGATTCTGCCCTGCCTGCAACCATCTTCTTTCTCCCAAAGGTGACCAGTACCCTGACTTTAATAGTAATCACTGCATTGCATTTTTTTTTTTTTTTTTGAAACAGAGTTTCACTTTTGTTGCCCAGGCTAGAGTGCATTTGGTGCTATTTTTGTCTTACTGTAACCTCTGCCTCCCAGGTTCATGCGATTCTCCTGCCTCAGCCTCACGAATAGCTGGGATTACAGGCATCCACCACCATGCTTGGCTAATTTTTGTATTTTTAGTAGAGATGGGGTTTCACCATCTTAGTCAGGCTGGTCTCAAACTCCTGACCTCAAGTAATCCACCCACTTCAGCCTCTCAAAGTGCTGGGTTTACAGACAGCCACTGTGACTGGCCTCCCTGTTTAATTTCTATTAGATATTACCCACATAGAAGCTCTTTTGGGATTTTCAATACTTTTTAGGAGTGAAACCTAAAACTAAACATTTGAAAATTGCTGCTTTACAGCAACCACTAAAAAATCGTGCAATGAGCAGCACTATTCATTGTAGTGGAAGCAACTCAAATGTTCATCAGTGGATGCATGGGTAAATGAAACGTGGTATGTGCATACAACGGAGTATTAGTCAATCATAGAAAGAAAGAAAATCTTGATACATGCTACAATGGGGATGGACCTTGAAAACATTATGCTAAATGAAAGAAGCCAGACATAAAAGGGCACATATTGCAGGGCATGGTGGCTCATGCCTGTAATGCCAACACTTTGTGGTGGAGACGGGTGGATCACCTGAAGTCGAGAGTTTGAGACCAACCTGACCAACATGGAGAAACTTCATCTTGTAAAAATGCAAAAACTTCATTTTGTAAAAATACAAAAATTGGCCGGGCGTGGTGATGCATGCCTGTAATCCCAGCTACTCAGGAGGCTGAGGCGGGAGAATTGCTTGAACCCTGGAGGCCAAGGTTGCAGTGATCCAAGATCACACCATTGCACTCCAGCCTGGGCAGCAAGAGCAAGATTCTGTCTCAATTACAGGTGTGAGTCATCGCGTTC